ACATCGATGCCAGCGGATTGTCGAGAAAGTACGGAGGCACCAGCGGGTTACTTACAAAAACGCATCAACCTGACAAGATCGAAAGGCCAGGGCCACTGATCACCGGCACAAAATGACACACCCTTGAAAAGAAGAGAAAAAAAGGGCGAGAGATGAGGACCGAGCAAGATTGAAGAAAGGTGAAGTGAAAGTGATTGACTTTTGACGCTGTTTTGTATATCAACCCGTCCCTCTGTCCTTTGCTGCTACTCCGCACCTCCAAAGCCGGAGAATCAGAACCGCGGCGTGATGGCGGCTGGCTTGTTCTGCAGCACCTTCTCCATCTCCTCCAGGACCTCGGGCGTCAGCTTCTCTTGCGCGCTGATGGCGCGAATGTTCTCGTAGACCTGCTCGGCGCCGCTGGCGCCAATAATGGCCGAGCTGACGTTGGGGTTCTTGAGCACCCAGGCGAGGGCGAGGGTGCTCTGCTTGATGCCGAGGCGCTCGGCAATGGGCGCGAGGCCGTTGGCCTTGTCGACGAGGGCCTGGAACTCGGCCTTTGCGTTCTCCTTTTTCCAGTAGTCGCCGATGAAGCCGACGTCCTTTTGCGCGAAGCGCGAGTCGTCGGGGATACCGTTCTTGTACTTGCCCGAGAGGATGCCCTGGCGCATCGGGGAGAAGACGGTGAGGCCGAGGCCGACCTCGCGGTAGAGGTGCACAAAGTCGAGCTCGACCTTCTTGCGGTCGAGCGCGTTGTAGGCCGGCTGCTCCATGACGGGGCCGATGAGATTGAGCTTGTCAGCGTAGCGCCAGGCCTGGGCGATCTCGTCGGCCGACCACTCCGAGGTGCCCCAGTAGAGGGCCTTGCCTTCGTTGATGACGTGGTTGAAGGCGCGCACCGTCTCTTCCATGGGCGTGTGACGGTCGGGACTGCACTTGGTCGTCAGTAGGATTGATCAGATGATTGCGAGCGTGGATGGATCTGTGCAGAGGAGGAGGCTGGAAAGGAGGGACCCACCGGTGGGCGTAGACGAGGTCGACGTAGGGAAGGTCGAGCCTCGCCAGAGAGGCGTCGAGACCCTCGATAATGTGCTTGCGGGAGAGGCCCTTGTTGTTCACGACATTGTCGCCAAACGCACCACCCCAGTAGATCTTGGTAGAGATGACGAGGTCGTTCCTCTTCCAGCCGTACTTCTTGATGGCTTCACCCATGACCTTCTCGCTCTCGCCCTCGGCATAGCCCTCGGCCGTGTCGAAAAAGTTGACACCGCAGTCATAGGCGGCCTTCATGCACTTGAAGGTGCCCTCTGCAGAGAATCATGTCAGCAACGAGCATCGGGCGGCGTCGAGTCGAGCGGGCAGGCCGTCTGCGGCACATCAATCACTCACCCTTGTCGACATGGCCACCATAGGTCAACCCTGCATCCTGGAATCAGCATGGCCCCGGAAACCGCGTCTGGAAATTCGGCGTGACTCACATCCACCCAGACTGATGGCGCTAACCTGGAGACCAGAGCGGCCCAGGAAGCGGTACTCCATGGCGGGAAGATCGTCAGGCTTCGACATTGTGTGATCGTGTTGGGGAGGGGGCCCTGTGGTCTGCTTCTGTGAGGGGGGAGAGGGGGGCGGGGTCTGGATAATTTGGACGAGTCGTGCGGAAGGGGGGAGCCATGGCGAGAGGCCATCATGGAGGAAACGTCACTGATTATATACTTGAAGGCAGTCCATGCAAGTGTCGCCATCTCAGCCGACGGGTAAGTACATGTAGCAGCAGCAGCATCCATGGCCACATCACCGGGGATCGGCGAGCCGAGTCGGGTGTGGTGTCGTGGTAGGACCCCCACCAGAGCTGCAGCAGGACAAGGGAAGGTGATTGCTGAGTATGAACATCTCAATGTGCTGTAGGTGCCTAGGCAAATAGCTCGAGAAGCTTTCCGCCGAGTTTCCCTACCGGGCCATTGGTGGTCTGAAGCAGGGCACCCATACGCGGATCAAAGTGTGCGGTCGCTCGGATGAGCGTAGCAATCTCTGAGGCTTCTGGGATAGTCGAGGTCGTCATGATCAAAATCTCCTGGGGTGAGGATGGCCAAAAAGCAGGGATCTGATTCGGGCGGAGGGGTGCTGATGCAGACTCCAGTACTGTTGTCTGTTCCTGTTGATGAGGGGGCTCCGATGCGAGGTGGGCCTTCGTCTCCGCAGGATGCCCCCCACCCTCGCTGTTTTCTGTCACCTCACCGAGGGGGAGGGGGAGGGGCAGGCGCTGACTAACCAGCCAACGACATGCCTCCTGAAGGTGTTCACAGGGAATAGTGACCTGTCCATCTGACATCAATCTACTGGGTGTTGCCTCTTCTTTGCTCGTGTCACATATACACATCTTGTTAATTTTGCATGGCTTTTGTTTTTGACACCAGCTCGTCGATTAATCTCTGATGAGTATTGCTTCGTGGTGCGCTGCCCTCAGGCCTCCTCGTACCGGTACTTCTGATGGCAGCTATCATGCTGCGATGGAAAGCAGGCCTGAAGCATTGCACAAAGCAATACAATCATGTCTGTGAATCCTTTTGTACTAGATTGCCTATCGCAAACCCTGCAGCATCTCAAGCCCGTGAGTGGAGAAGCCGTTAAGCTTGCGCATCAGCGTCCCCCTTCGCCAACGATTCCCAATGCGCATTTGCTTTGGCCTCTTTGTTTTTCATGATCAAACACTAGATGTGGTCCTAGTCTGGGTATGAGGACCATGTTGAGATGGTTTTCGTGCTGGTAGACCAACATTCATGCGTTGCACAGTGAACATGCGGCTCGCAAAGAGCTCTGGTGAATATTGCATTGGTTATGGCGGTATTTTCTTTTTATTTGGACACACTATGACCCCCCAAACAGCCTTTAGATGGGGCCCTCTCTTTTATGCGTCTTTGAAATTTTTTGTGTGTGCCTGGTTAGGCCGCGATGCCCTCAGTTGTGAGGCATCGTGCGTGCAGTGTTGCAGCCGCCAAGGCAGCGGCTTGATCCCCCTGGGGCGGCCTTGAAATATCATTGCCTGAATTGCCTGAGTGACTTGTAAAGCTTGAACAATTGATAGTCTTTCCTACTCCAAATTGAGATCCTCCATTCTCTACTTCTTCAACTCCCTTGTCCCGATATCTGACAGCAACTCGACTTGCCTCCACAGATCGCGTTGTCCATCATCCCATCGCCAGCAGTCCGTCAACATACCTACTAGTAGGCCCCTTACGCTGCATAGTCGGTAAGTCCCCTTGAGTCGATGTTTGGCCCTCCTGCGCAGGCGGCGCGTCTCGCCCCGGCCGCACATTCAACACAACCAAAACGGCCCTCTTCCTTTCTTGCTCCCCAGCAGCGAGTGTACCCAACCGGCCGGAGTTCTCTGCTTCATGACAC